CATTTGGAACATGGTGTATAAACATTAACAATGGATTACTGTCTCTTGTATAGTTTTCACACAGTGCATAGTGTCACTGTTGTATTTGTTGCTTATATATTCAAAAGTGTTAAACTCATGTTGTTTACTCAGGACAAAACCTCTTTCACTTTTTTCTTTCTTTTTTTTTAGTTTTTTTTTTTACCTGAAGATAAATAAAACCTTTTAGGAAATAAATCCCGAGAGAGCCGAATCACAATTCGTGTTGCCATAGCGACATTTTTCTGGACTCCTCGTCACATCTGTCAGGAGGAGGCTCGCAGTTATTGGATTTTATTATCCCTGCAGGGAAATTTTGGGGCCCCAGTGCCAGTTTTCCTAACATGGTAATCACCTTCAAATGAATACACTGTGACAGAAACCGATGCGAATGAAACCCCACAACTGTCCGAAATAATTACCTTCTAAAACAATAGTTTGAGGGTTGAAATAAAGAAATAAAAATAAAAAAAGGCGGGTAATCAGGATTTTACCGGACAATTCTGACGTTCTTCAAGAAACCGAGTGAAGCTCATTTGAAGAAACTCTGCTTTAATTAGAGAAAGAGAACAACTGATGAGGTTGGCTTGGTTGTTATTATGTACAAATGTCAGACCTCTGTCCAGTGAAGAATCATTTAGAATAAAAAATTTGTTACAAGAACTTAGTTGTAATGACATCAGAAAAAACGTCGTGATGACATAAGAATAAAATAATGGCAAAAAGTAATAATATTATGAGAGTAGAGTCAGAAAAATGCCATAAAAAAACTGAAATGACACGAAAATAAACTCAGGATTTTACCCAATTAAAGTTGTAATGTTAGCGGAATAATCCAGTGGTAATTGTGCAATAAGTCCTACATGACTTACCGTACAATTAGGAATTATTGTGATTGTGTGCTAAACAAATGGGACATGTCTTTTCGCAAATCAGCATCAAACGTTAGGTCAAACATTTTGGAGGTTTGAGAAGAACCATACTTCACAAGCCAACATGCAACAACCCCCTCAGACTTCCCCAAACCATTAGACAGCTAATGTCTCTGCAGAACTTTGAAACGATTCTTCAAAACAGACACAGTAGTTTGAACAAAGAATCACATCAGATCTAAATCACTCTATCAAGGCTTTTTTTTCTAGTAACTTTACAACTTTCTTCTGGTGATATTATGTTAATATGACTTATTCTTGTAATTAAAAAAAAAGTCTCTCAGTCTGGCCCTAATGCTCTGCTATACCAGTGAGAGCCGATGAGGGAAAAAATATCAGATTTTGCTGTTCGACTCAGAGACATGTTGCCAGATTAACGCAGTTCTGACTGAGGAAAGCACAGGAAGACAATCAGCTGCTGTAGCCATGAGTCACTGTGCCTGGGAGTAGAGTGGGAGTGTATCTCCACACAGAGGAGTCCACAGGAAAACAGAAAAAACGGAGGATACCGGTCATATGTTGCAGAAAAACTTCAATCCATCCATCCCCTTATGTATGTATGTATGTATGTATGTATGTATGTATGTATGTATGTATGTATGTATGTATGTATGTATGTATGGATGGATGGATGGATGGATGGATGGATGGATGGATGGATGGATGGATGGATGGATGGATGGATGGATGGATGGATGGATGGATGGATGGATGGATGGATGGATGGATGGATGGATGGATGGATGGATGGATGGATGGATGGATGGATGGATGCCCGTCTGCAGTTCAGGAAAACTTCTGTCTGCTTTTTTCAGTCTTTCTGTTGGACAACATGTCAGTTCAGGCTCTTATGGAGAAATTTTGATATGGCTGAAAAACCATCACATATTATCAAGGTCTTTTTTTTTATTACAGTGTTTTCATTAAGCAAATTGAAATCTAGTTTGCGCAATTTTATGGTCAATGGAAGCACAGCATCAAAAGTACAAAGGACAAGTTGTAAAGGCACATTTTTCCCAAATTTGACAAGGCTGGACAAGAGGAAAACACATGTAACAACAACATCCACATGTAAGATAACATCCCTCACAGACATCTAACATGTTTGGGAAAAACTGTGAGTGCTGAATTCTTGACTTCATCAAAAACCAACGCTGGCTGCCAAGGTTCCTTCGTGTTGTTTGGTAATTAATCATCATCTGGCTGAACTGAACTATTGATATTTGAAATTCAAGACCTTTGGAGGGAAATAAGTTGTAAAACTTCACCCAGCTTAACAGGTGTGTAGAAAAATGCTGTGTCATTTTGTGCTCACTGCAGCTTCGGCATAGCAATGTCTTTCCAGTGCAGTTACAATTAGTCCTCAGTCTGTTGTCACGCCTCTGTGTGGGTGTGTGTGAGCGTGTGAAAGATCCCATGAACCCCTCATCTGACAGATGATTCAGCATCGTTAGTATTTTCATAGTGCTCTCTGAGCCTTGAGTTATTCCATCCTGTAGACAGAGAACACACCTAGAGACACTGCAGCGCTCATTCAGCTGTCCACTTGATATGACACATGAACAGTCAAAATACTATGAAATATGGTGAAAATGGATCAAAATGTGACATTTTCTTTCTTTTTCCATCACGTTTGTTGGCTTTTTTTAACTAATAATTGTGTGTGTTTGGGGTCGGGGGGTTTACAGGAAAGTAGCTGCATCGCCATTGGAAATGTGCGCAATTTCTGTCAATATTCCACTAATGTGGAAAATAATACAACTTCGCAAATCAAAAATAAGCAAAAAGTCATTAAAAAAACATAACGTGCCATCCTCCTCCTTCCTCTTCCTGTTTTCTTTGTCGTTTCCACCAGTGGTAACATTTGGATACTGGTGGAAAATCGCAGTTTTCTTTCTGAAATACACCAATGTCGATACAAACGACAAAATTATTTTTATCGAAAATTGGGTTTTATTTATTTTTATTTTCGTAATTCCAATTTGCGCAAAGACATGCTCAATGGGAACGAAGCCAGCAGGCTGAATCAGTTCACCAAAACCACTCCTGCTCGGATATGTCGGCCAGACGGGTCATCATCTTTTCATTTACCTCATATGGTGCTGATGAATATAGAAACCTGGGTGATGACACTCTTATATCACTTTCTCCATCGCTGCCTCCAGGTATAAAGATAATAAAGTCTAATTACAGCCAGCGCTCCAGCTGATAATTTCCTGCCACATAAATTTCTCACCCAGAAGTAATGTGAGGTGAAAAAAACTGAGACAACAAGCTCCACAAGACGATTAGCAGCACACCTGAACCAACAGGATAACCAGGAAAAGATTGACCTTCCTTCAGTCCAACGACTGGCAATCAGTCACCAATCACAAATCGACATATAATACGCATCTGCACAGCTCAACCAAAAGTGTTAATGAACTGTTTTCTCTCCCCACTTTGCTCATGTGTTTTATCGGGATTTAATACAAGGTACTGCACAAATATGAAGAAAACAAATTTGAAAAGTGGAGAACGTGTTTACATTCAGCCCACTTTATGTAATTTCATTTTAGTTATTTGCTGGAAGACTAGTTCAAAAGGTATCCAGGGACGACAGGAAGAAGCGTTGTCATGACGATGTGCTATAAAGGGAGTGTCGGAATGGGTGGGAGGTTCTTAAAGAGACAGAAGACAATTTGAAGGTGTCAACAGACACGAGGTCAAATTTCTTTTACGTTGTTTTAGATATGTACTTAACATAAACGCAAAGCAACATTTGTCATATTACAATCAACTAAGTGTTTATAATCTCTTATTCATCAATATTATTTTCTGTTTAGACAGGAATTAGAATATTATTAAAGTATTGCCGACTGCAAAACCCACAAACACCCAAACATGAAAATAAACTCCCAACAAAAATATTTGACAAAAAACAGTCAAGGGAAAACCAATCAAATGTCTTTGTAGGATAGATTTAAAGCAGGATTGCACCAATCCGCTTTTTTCACTTCTGATACCGATACCAATATCTGAGCTGTAGAATCGGCCAATACCGATCCAGTAGAGAATAAATCGTGCTGAACTGACTTCAAAATACTCTTTTTTTCTTACACACAGACATGACTGTACTTAATTAAAAAAGTATTTGATAACTCAAATACTTTGGTTATCGCACCGTGAACTACACAACAAGCTGAGTCAAACATGTCCGAACACAATTTTCATTTGTTCAGTTGGTGCAATTAAGGGTTCAGAATATTTGAACAGTCAATGTAAAATAAATAATAGAGGATGGAGTTGACAAAAACAATGTTTTACTGCCTTGGTCTTGAAAATAAACTGTAACAAACTTTCTTTCAGGTGGTTCAGAAAGTGAAATTAGGAATTCAAAATATAATGTAAAAAATAAAATGATAAAGCTGCTGAGAGTTAGACTGAATAGATCTGAATAGACTGAATAGATCAATGTACCTGAATCGGGTACATTGATATCGATACCCGATCTAGAATTTTTTATCAATATCGGAACCGAAACAGATGTTAACATTGGTCATCTCTAATCTAAAGTCGCTTAAGTTTTATTTTATGAGGAAGTGGAACAGCAACATGGTCTGAATTCTGATAATGTAACGAAGTCGTGTTTCAAATTTGATACTTGGACACAGATATAAAGCCGCAGACGGCCACTCTGATATAGACTTCTGATATATTTAGAGAAATAAAAAAATATATATTCAACTTCAGTCACCAATAGTGTTTTGCATTTTCTATTTCGATTTTTACTTGTAAAACTATATGAAAACCAAACGTAATTTACGCGCTCAAATAAAATCTCCACAAAACACATTGACATGTTTGGTTGCCACGGAAACATGTGGAAAAGTTCAAAAGGTAGAACAATTTTTGCTGAGAACTTAGGTTTCTTGCTGAGCACCGTTATTAAAGTTCTCTTATTTTATTTCCTGCCGCTTTCTGGATCAAACAGAAAAGGCAGCGCCAAGTGGTTTCCAGCAAGTCATCACCGGTTCCCTGGCTTACGGGGAGGGAGCACATCCAACTGACCTCTGACCTTGGAGGAAAAATGGGCCGAGTGGCGAGTTATAAACAGCTGCAGCTGCTGGTCAAGGTCGCAGCACTTCAAATTGACGTCCCAGGATCGAATTCCTGCAGGGAAGGAAAAGAAAAGAGCTTTTAAGGTCAAACGAAGTACTGAAGGGCAGATGTGAAAATAATAATAATAATAATAATAAAAACATCCCTCGGATTTTTTTTTTTTTTTTAATGATCCTGAACAAAAATCATTTGCAGGTTATCAAAGAAGCTGTCTTCGGGTCGTTGTTTTTGTGTGCGTGAGGTCAAACTGCACCATCTGTTGCTGCAGCTAATGCACCTTCCTCCTGCTTTCTCCCCTCAACAAACTTTAATGCCACAAATTATAACCTTAACAGTTTCCTACAGTGATTAAAGACCCGAGCAAATTATATTTCTCGCACTGTGACGCCACGCTAAGAAAATGTAAAAAAGAGTCAAACTAAATCACAAAAATAAAGTCACAATATTACGAGTTTATTCTTGTGTTATTTCCAAATTAATCTGGTGCGGCTTCATTCTTGTAATAGTATGACTTTATTATTGTAATTTTTTCCTTAATACTCTGCAGCACAGAATAACTATTCTCATATCATGACTTCATTCTTAGGCTCTTATTACTTTATTCTCATAATTCTTTTATGTTGTCATAATTTTATTTATTTTTGTTAGCATAACCCTAATACTTCAGTATTGAACGAATTTATTCTCATGGTACTGTAACTTTACTCTCTTATTTCAATTTTATTCTCGTGTTATTTTGTTTTTGTTCTTGCTCAATTTTTGTCCTTACAATATGACGACTTCATTCTTGTAACTTTATTTTTTGGGTGTTTTTTCTTAGCATTACCCTGATATTCGCCGACATATTTGGTCACAAATATCAGCCTATCAGCAGCCACGACATGACAAATCAGACGCGGTTCAGCAACGCACGACCACCAATCAGACCGCTCTGTTCCTGACCGGTCTGCACCGACACGTTCTTCAGACGTTCACCGAGAAGGACGCATTTCGTCCAGATCTGCTCTGCAGATCTCCAGCTACAGCAAAAAAACATGTAAATGTCACCTGTTTTAGGATAGAAACGTTGCACTTTGATGTAAAACAGAAAAATCAAGTCTTTCGTCTGTGGGTCGCAGTGTGTGTTTTAAAACACCTTCAGCCGCGGCAGAACGAGGTGTGAAAAGTCACAGTTTCGTGTCAGCACATATGCTGATGGAGGAGCTTTCATCTTCCTAACTTTAAAGCCAAGGAGCTCTTTCTACGACCAAAGCTGATCCGTGGAAACCCTCTGTGTGCGAAACGGAGGAAAGTCACATTTTCTGACCTGATTAGGAGGAATACTTCTAAGGCTTGTAGGGTTTAGTAGAAAATGGAAACATCATTTATGGTTTATTGTGCTTTCTGGTTTTCAATGAGTGTTATTGCAACAGCTGCTCAGATGGTATTGCATATTCAGGTTACTTGAGAGGTGTCACAACGTCTCATTTGTGCTCCAACTGTGATTCATACGAATCCAAATTTGACCCATCTGGCACAGGTGATTGATGCCGAAATAATTTGTTAAACTTGGTTAAAATCTTAGCAAGCGTTTTGAAAGAAAGTGACCCAAATTCTCCTTTTATAATGGGGCATAACTTTGTTCAGCTGAGAAAAAGATGTGAAAACTATTTGCTTTTAATAAATGTGCACATCTTTAACATTTTTTTAAATTGATCTGCAATCAATAAAATCCCCCTCCTGCAAAAAAAAAAAAAAAAGAAGAAGAAATCGGACTACTTTATTTGCTTCATTTTAATAATTTTCTTTGACTGTGAGTACTTTGTTCAGATTTTTTTTTATTTGTTTAGTCATTACACGTTTGGATAAATATTATTTGTGAAACTGGAAGGACTTTAGCTCTTACTTTGTTTTTTTTTTTACTTTTGGACAGTTGCTATGACTCGTAACTGTGGCAACAGGGGATTGGTTTTAAAACCGGGAACTGTTAGCAATATTGTTAGCATATTAACAACTTAATCCCCATTATAGTCCACCATGGCTGCTGTGGATCTTCAGGGCACAGAATAGTGATGTTTTGTCGAGCATGAATGAAGTTCAGGTCGGATGAACATGACCTGGACGTTGGTCGCATTTGAATCGGACACCCAAGTGGCCCGGGCCGCATTGGAAAAGAATCCGACCTGTTTCTGTTCAGACTGTCCTGAAATGATCACATACAGGCCGAATTACATTTTTTAAAAAAAATCAGAATCGGGTCGCTTCAGGCTACAGTATGAACGCAGCTGTAGACTGGGGTTTCCTCCTGCAATGCATAATGCTAGGCTAATCAGTTATTCTAAATTACCCTTGGATGTAAGTGTGTGTCGATGTACGTGAATAATGGATGGCTGTATGGATTTCACATTGGTTGAACCGAGCACAGCCAGTAGACACCCAGAACCAAACTGTACCGCATTAGGAGATTCCAGTTCACGATTCTTCACTGTAAACATGTCCAAATTTAAAACAGTAGCAAAAAAGATCCAAAGTCTATAGCGCCAGGCAGAAAGATTCACACCTCTATGAATTTTAGGCCCGTTGCTACCAACAATTTAAAATAAAGCTGAATCTAAATGACTTGACTTCAAAAGCACTCAGTCTTGCAACAAATCTGAACAGGCCTCCGACTGGAGATGCAAATCTTTCCCGATTTTTAGCATCACAATTCAATCCAGACACAACTTTCCATTCAGAAACCAATTTTTCCATTCAAAACAGCCTAGAGATTCTGTTATGCGACTGAGAAGAGAAAAAGCCACAGAAAACTTGAGCGTCAGAAGGCTTGAGGAACCCTGGAAATCAGACTAAATCTCTGCAGCGTGAACGTAAAAGCAGCTCACACACACACACACACACACACACACACACACACACACACACACACACACACACACACACACACACACACACACACACACACCCAAACACACACACACAAACTGAGTCATTCTGGAAACACCAGGCGGGGTGAAACTATCCGTGCTTTAATAAGCTGAGTGGGTGTGAGCCTGCCACACACGAGCTGATCCGTCAGCTCCCAGGGGTCCGAACAGCAAGCCGGAGGTCAATGAGGATGGAGGGAGTCGGTGTGGCGTTGCGCCGCCATCTTTCACCCTAATCTGGACCGGAGGACAAGCAGCCCGTGTCAACGGCTCCGTGGGAAATAGCTGACAGGTGTTTTCCTGGAAATGCAAGCGTTTAAAAATCCATGATGTCAACTTATAGCAGGTGTCAGGCTGCGTGAAGCCGGCGGCGGTTCTCTGTGAGGAGGAGCAGCGTCGAACGCAGGCCTGTGACTAAGTCTTCCATTAACGCTGTGAAGACTTCACAAGGAGAAGATTCTAGTTCAAACATTCTGTAACATCCAGAGTAGGGCTGAACCGAGTAGTTGACCTGATCGCGATGAATCAATCGTCGAATTAATCGTCAGCTAATTCAGTGATTGATTAATCATTAGCTGGAGTATACGATCTCAAACAAAGTTTTAGCTTCACCCAGTTCAAATTCACCAAATTTGGTGGCAACTTGCATCATCATCATCATCATCGTACTTTAACCCTGTGGAGACGAAATTACGAGCATTTAGAAAACTCTGCAATATCCAGAGTGGGGCGGAAATGATTGAAATAATCCTCAATTAACTGAGAAAAGAGAAAAACTACTTTTTACTGGAAAAATGGACATATTCAAAGCAGCAATTAAGTCAAAACTGCACAAAATATTTAGACACTTTGTGTATAATATAAAAACACTGTTGTTTGTGAAAGTGATTTCTCCAAAATGGCAGTTTTAGCTTCACTAAATTCACTAAAGGAATGACAGGTCATTGTATTTTAGTAAATAAGACGTGCATTTTCACATTTGAAAAGGAATTTGTGAACATGGGCTGGAAAGTGAGCAGATCAGGATCGACATATTTGTTTTTCGCTGGCGGTGCTGTCCACCCGACGCTCTTCTGCCACAACTGATAAAAACGTTTCGGACGTCAAGGTTTGACTTATCGATCTGCAGCTCACCATCTCGCCAACGGCTACGGCCTCTAACTGGACTGGAAATGCCTGTCGAGATGTCGTTGCGGACGTTTATCCCCAGGTCAATCAATATGTACTGCTCCCAACCAAAAGCGACCAATCAGACCCAGGAGGAGGGAGGTCTTAGCGCTGTCGATCAAGCTCGTGTACTCTCTGCTCAATGACGGCGGAGAAACAGTACGCTGTTACAGAAAAACCAAGGTCGTGCTGACGAGCCTGAGCATTCACAACAGCATCTGCCAGCTGCAGTGTCACACTGAGGGGTGATTGACAGCGCTAAGATCCGCCTTCTGACCGTGATTGGTTGTTTCTAGCACTGGGAGAGGATGGAGGAGCGCACTTTTTTTTCCCAAAGAACGTCTCATCCCATATTGCAACAGCATAGTGAGAGTTTCAACAAATATGTAAAGAAAAACAAAGTTACAGACTACAGCTTGAATAATTCATGCCCAGTGGATTATTACAGCTGGAAGCTCAAAAGAGCTGAAATGGACGGAACACAGATCATGTTTGTGCCTCATTGTGATGCAACCTAAATTTAAAAAAAAACATGTCACCTCTCTTTTTTGCACGTTCTACAAACTTTGGAAATGCTGAACACTTTTAGAAGAAGTGGTGTTTTTCTTGTCTGTGCATCGGTTAGAGTTAGAAGTGCACAAATTGGGTATCAATATCTTTACAATCCTCTCAAATAATAATAACAATGCGTTGAAGTCACGCTCCATCACTAGCAGTGCAGCTTTCCTACAAGGAAATAACGAGCATGTTTTTGTGGCTCACTGAGTGGGAGCATCATATTCGGTGGAGATGGTTGTTTCAGTCCCGTGGTGCAACGCTGCAGCAGCAACCGCCGGTCCTGCTCAATGCGTCAAAACCATGTTTCCCAGCTCCAAACCTTTCCTCTCCACTGTTTAATCCCCCCAAAGCGCAGCAGCGAATACAAACAAACAAACAAACAAAAAACCAACAACAACCAAAAAGTGACTTCAGAGCTCCGTCCGGGTTGCAGCAGAACTCACCCCGCTCTATCTGCGCTCTGGCGGCGTCCAGCTGCGCCTCGGTGCCGATCTGCCCGATCACTACCAGCATGTAGTAGCCGCTCCGGTTGAACGGCAGCCCGCGCCGCTGCCTGCCTCCTCTGCGGCGGTGCTGCAGCCTCTCCTCGAACCCCGGAGCGCCCGAGTCCTCGTCCTCCTCCACCACCGGCAGCGCACCTCGCGCGGGCATCTCCATGGCAACAGCCCCCGGAGCCGACGCCGGGGCCGACTCCATCGCCATGACAACTGTTTTGCGTGTGTGTGTGTGTGTGTGTGAAGGGAGGCGCGTGGAAGGGGCTGGAGGAGGAGGAGGAGGAGGAGGGGGGCGGGGCGTGGACAGATGCGGAGAGAGGAGGGGAAGAAGAACGGGGGGGCAGAGGGCAGGGGGGGCACAGAAAATCACAAATCTAAACAAGTTCGTACTTTATGCTTTTATACTTGTTTATTATTTAATGTGTATTAATATTTGTTGTTAGGCTTCTTGAACTGGGACCATGAACTTGCAAAACGTGAGCCGGTATCTGTAAAAACTGGAAACTGTCAAACTGGGCGACAAAAGAAGATGGCAAAACACTTATAAAACTTCTAGGTGAGTTGTAGACCTGAATAGGTGCAAGGATCGCCTTGATACTGAATAATGTGCGGAGGGATTGTTCTCAGATCAGGTTGCGAACTACACTAAGTTTGTCCAGAACTTTGTTCAGTGATATCTGACAACGCTATAAAAATGTAAAAAATGTAATATATATATATATATATATATATATATATATATATATATATATATATATATATATATATATATATATATATATATATATATATATATATATATATAGATCAGGTTGCATCATCCATTGATGATGGATGGATAGATATCACAAATGTGACTTAAACTTTTGTATTTTCTAATTTAACGCCTTGAAACTGGGCCTCCATCTCTTTCTGAAATGGTGCGTTCACACCAAACGTGCTTTGAGCGTCAGGCGCGTCTGGTTTATATTCAAAGTCTATGTGGAGGCTTGTTTCGAGCGTCTAGCACAGCGCAATTCAAACGCAACCAACGCGCTTGGCTCACTGAGCGTCCTGAACGGTTCAAATCACGCCGCACTAGACGCTCGAGACACGCCCCGAAGGCCCTCCATGCGCCTCCACAAAACATTGATGCTCCAAACGCGTTTGATGCGACGGCATGGCTCCTCTGGTAACTCTTTGACAACATCAAACCAGCGTTACACTGAGAAGCTGCTATAGTGAGCTCAGCAGGTGCACCAGGTGTTTGCTAATTGCTGCTGGCTAGTTTGAAGGAGCTGAGAGGGGGAGTCCCAGCGGAGGGCTGCTCTATCCCTTTAAATAGCACCTGGAGGAGGCGGGGGAGAGGGAGGGGCCAGCACACATGTTGCACACAATGAAATCCCACAGTGGGAGCATTTTGAGAAACTGTGACGTTCCATATGAAATGCTACGACTGCTTAAGTAGGATTTATTGTTAAACCTGGATCAGACTGCCAGGCGTTAAAAAGGCCCTGAGTCTTCATTTAGGATTCAGACGATGCATGAATGCAGCCGCTGCTGTGTGATGAACGCAGGGGGCTTAATGATGGGGAGAAAGTTGGTGGGGGAAGAAAACACTCTGTCCCGACTCCAAATGTCTTTTCACGCCCACTGAGGGACACGCTGACAAAGGAACAAAGAGACGATGCGTGGGACTTAAAATAACCTCTTGGCTCTCAGGAAACGAGCTTCTCCCCTGACTGACTTGACCTTGGAAAAGTTCGGCTTCCCTGAATAAACTGCCAGCGCCACACAGAGAGGATGAGGATCTGGAGTTGCTCTATTCAGTCAGAATATATATATATATATATATATAAAAATATATATATATATATATATATATATGTGTGTGTGTGTGTGTGTGTGTGTGTGTGTGTGTGTGTGTGTGTGTTTATAAACTGCTAATATGCAGAATAGATGGTCTGTAAATTAGGTATGATTCATCAACTTAGATATTCAGCTCAGCTGCTTTTGCTAGAGCTCCATGGAAAGGCAAAAATAAACAATCTATAAAATCCTGCTGTTGCAGTATGAAGATACCTTGTATGGATTTTTTTCTTTGCCTCAGTCCTTTCTTTCTGTCAGTGAGTCAGCACTTCACTCTGAGTGAGCAGCATTGCACAGCAGGTGCTGCCATCTAGTGATAGCGGTGAGCATGAACTCTCTGTCCCGGTGGCGCTCTTGAATGACGTAACGACAGCGCATCTGTGGTTCACCAGAGCATACAGCACCCTCTGGTGGCCAATCAAGGCCATTGTACAGAAAAGGGAAAAACAAATTCTTCGATTGGGCTGATGAGTTCGTAAAAACATTAGGTTTTTTGAAGCAAGTTTTAAACTTTTAAAACTTAAAACATGTATGTTAAAAAAAATTTTCATTGTTTTGAGAAAGTAAGGCATTTTCTGTAAAAGTATATTTATCTTGAAATTTTGTAATTTTTTTTTCTCTATGGAAAAAAAAGCTTTTTGTGCCAAAATTTAAGAAATTTTGAGAAAAAATTTTGGTCAAAATTTGTTTCTGAAAAATGTCTGAGATTCTCAGATGTTCATCTTCTGAAATATAGAAATTTTATTTGCTGTTTTCTTCTTTTTTTAAAAAAAAAATTATGTTTTCCAAAACTAAGACTTTTGTTTTCCAAAAAACTTTTTTTTTTCTCAAAAGAAAAAAAGAATCAAAAGATTATTTTTTTTCTAGAAAAAAATGTTTTTTGGACAAATTCTCAAATTAGATATATTTATATTTTTTTTCTTAGGAATTTTTTGATTTCTAAAACATAAAAATGTTTTGGTCAAAAATCCCTTTAAAAAGACTCGAAAAGACTTGAAATTTGAAATTCAGATTTGGGTCTTGCCTTGACGCTTGGCTCGTAAATTGAGTATAAAGTTAAGGGTGATAAATTGTCATATCATTTGTCATTTATCCTGAAAGAATTATTTTTTATAAATATTTCTTCCACACACAATGAAATGATTCCATATCTATGAAGTATTTGCAACACTGAATGCTCCCTTAATGGTAACTGCACTTCTTTCTAAAGCTGCATTGAGAGACTTTAGAGTTAACTAATAAACATTTTTATAGAGCAGGGTTGTCTGCAGGCTGCAATTAATCAATAATTAAGTATCAATAGGAGAAACAGATGCCTTTCTGCTCAGGCAGCTGAGCGATGGTAGTGTCTGACATGCAAGAAAAAAATAGGAGTGTACAGGCTGGAATGACAGACAGAGAGCTGAGGCGGCAGCGTTGGGTTAAATTGATATTCCCCCACTGACCCACAGCAGACAGAGGTCACAAAGCTCTGGCAATGAGCAAAATGTGTTGGAAATATTCTGGACGGCCCAGAGTTGCAGCAACGTGGTTAAACTTGATGCTCTCATCAGTTTCTCGGCTTGTCAATTTCGATGGATGGCCACATTTGCACTTTGGGTTAAACATGCAAGATGTTTGATGCTCGAGATATTATCTCATTACCCAACTCTGCATGTTTGGGTCCTTGTAGGTAATAATAATAATAATAAAATGGAAGAGTAAACTCACAATTAATCTCAGAACTTTTCTAGTAAAAAAAAAAAAATCTCGAGTTTGAAAAGTCAAAGATTTGTTCAAAAATACAGATTTTTTTTCTAGATTAATCACAGAAATTGATTTCAACTAATAAACTGTTTGGCTTTTGAATCTCAGAAATGATGAGGTAATCACTGCCAATGCTAGCGTGGAGGCGGGAACATGCATGAATACTTTTGGAAAGTAATTTCAATGAAACCTCAACTTTAAATGAGAGCAAAGCATTTTTATTAGATGCAATACTTACTATTGAAATACAAAAGGGACCCAGTTGTCTTTTTCCCAGAACAATTCATCCAAGTCGAACAAAATGACAAAAAAAATAAATTCAAATCTTGCATCAACCACTCGTTTAGTGGAAGAAAAAAAAACAATCTGCAAATATTTAGAAAAAAAGAATACTTACAGAAGTTACATCTCAATTGAGGTTTTTAAACACTACATTAAATAACACACACAGACACGCTTTTTAAGATAGGAAATGGGAGAAATGTACAGTGGACATAATTTACATGTCTGCAAGCTCAGACAAGCAAAACAGACACACAAAAATGACCTTCAAAGAAGTCAGAGAGCCGTGATCGTTATGAACTATTGGAAAGCTTTGATTGCTAAGAAAATATGTATTTTCTCATTTAAAAAAAGGAAAATCCACTGACAGCAGAGCTACTGGCATAAAACAAAGTAACACAGATCAGACTGTCTGCTCCTAAATGATTGAATCAGAATGGACTGTATGAGTTGCTGTCAGTGCAACTGGAAATGTTTCATATTCTATATTCTATAATCCAGCCAAAGTTGCTTCACAAAATGGTGAAATGATGCTTAAAAATGAATAAACGTAATTAAAAAAATCAATCCTAAAGTAAAAAAACAAACAAACAAAAACAACACATTAAAGTCTGAAACTACGTCAAGGCTCTGGCAATTCTGCTTTCTGTCGCCAAGTTACATTCATGTGAAACCCCCACAGAGCAGAGCGAGTTTGCTGACTGATTCAAAATCAATATTTACAGTAATGTCCATGTTGAAGCAAATACAACAAAACACAACTTATTTTCCATAATTCTGCAGATTCTGAGACAAAACACAAGTTAGATCAATGACAAAACAAAACACTTCATCTCAGTTATATTCACCCTGCTCCCACATATGGAACCGGCCTGTCTCTCACACACACACACACACACACACACACACACACACACACACACACACACACATAAGAGCATTGTCAGAAAAGGCATTGAAACAACATATACAAAGCAGAAGCATGCTGAAATGGACATTGTTAATCTTCATTTGTTTCTGCCCCTCTAGTTTTCATTTGATATGCGACTTTCCCCCCATCAGCTGCTCTTCTCGCCCACACGCACACACACACACACACACACACGCACACACACACACACACACACACTTGCACACAGCTGGACGTCGTCACTCAGCTGCAGATGCAGAAACCAGAAGCTACGGTGATCGTTGATTTGAGCTCAGTCAAGCTCTCAGTTGTTGCCCTGGAAGGTTCCGCGGGCGGCAGCGGATGCCGCTCCGGAGGCTGCAGTCTGGAAGCCTTTGCTGGTGACCACGCCCTGGGAGAACTCCTGCTGGGCCTTCTGGAAACTGGCCCCGGTGCGGCGGTACAGGCTGTGGACCTGAGGACGGGAGAGGGACGGTTTAACTGGAGGTAGAACATTAATTATGTAACTACAACAGAAAACCGGCTTCGAATCATCTCCTCAAACTCTCTATTGATCACATCGCTTATATGTACCGTAAAAACTTTCTTGCCATGAAAAGATGCTTAATTTATCGTTATCATGAAAACTTTATTTTTTTAATATTAGTAAATCTGAAAATATGATGAACTACAGTCTCCATGTGCAGTTTAACTGGTGTCTTGAAGTTTCACATTAATAGCAGAATTTGTTTGTGGATCGGAGTCCCAAACATACAGATACTTGTTTCAGTCATCACTTCTCGCATTAGCACTGGACAATATCACAATCAAATTTCTGTCTGCCTCCAATCTGTGGCATGACGCGGCGTTTACGTTGAGATTTCAGCTACTGACAAAAGCTAATGTTTCCATAGAAACCACCTTGGAAATCCATTGAATCTTTTCACGTTTTCATGATGCTGTTTGTTCACCAATGTTTGTCAGAATAAATCATATTCAATCTTCAGAATTCTAAAAAATTTTTCTGGCATTTAAAAAAATTTTTTTTTAAGATTTGTTGAATTTTTCCATATTGCCAGAAGTGATATTAAATCTGCTCCTGTCCAATTATGTCATAAAAACCTGCGGTTGCCTGACGTGGAACTGATTAAACAATGGAAAGAAATGAAACAAAAAACAGCATAGAAATCCTTCTGCGAATTGAGCCTTCGTTCACTCAGCAGGCAAATTCCACACAAATACGATTTTTTATTTGCCCGTATGCGACCAATACCCGACTTTTTCATGGCAGGCTGAACTCCGATCTTTTGACCGCCTCCAAAAAATCCGATTTGAGCCAAACCCATATGCGGTACTGAATCGGTTACGTGTTCACAGCGTCTGCGGTCTGAACGGTCATGACGCATTTCATTGGAACGCTAAAAAAAATAAAAATACAGCTGAAACGGTAAAGCAGAGCCGTCTAAAATAAACCGAGCTCTTACCATCTTCAGCAGGACGATGGACATCACGGCCCCGGTCGTAAAGAGGCAGGCCACGATGATCATGATGCCTCCCACCGCCTTTTTGCCGTTGCCGATCTCAGTGAAGGCAGAAATCCAACCGCTGGATCAACCAAGCAAACAACAACTGTTATGTCTTAGGTAGCAGCTTCACTTTTAGCACAGAAACATCAACAAGCAGTACATATACTAAACATGTGTTATCGTAGGTTGTATTTATATGTATATATATTTATGTATATTTATATATATATATATATAGATATATATATTTTTAAAAGCTGCAATTACCCCCAAAAATGATGCAAAAAAGTAAAACCACCATCAATTTAATCAGATTTTAAGATATTAAAAGTAGAAACAAAAAAAAAATGGTTAATTTAAAATGTTGGGTTTTTTTTTAGAGTTAATTTCAAGTGAACAACCTTGAAAATTTATCCAATTAGTCAACGTGGTGAGCGCATTTCATGCTACAATGACAGAAATACAATCTCCATGTGAAAACTAAACATTAGGATGTTTGACAGACATCATTACAACAGACTAAGGACAAAGATGTAGGGAAGCAATTTTGGCAAATTATGGGTTTGTAAAATAAGATTTTGTTTTCTTTTTGGAATGTTGGTAATTTGCCAAAATAAAGTGAAGCAAACTGAACTGGTTTACAGAGAAAATGTCAGAAAAAAAACCCTCATACACAAGAAACAAAACTTTCATATCCAGTTGGAAAAGGAGAAGGAAGAATCAATTCAGTCCGGAACGTAGAATCCAAATATATTCCAGGTTTTTACGCCACAATATAAATCCAACAGAAACTCCCAAAAATGGAGAAAACACACAAAGAAGCAGCAGAAACTTACAGGATTACCAGGAGACACAGAGACTGAAGAAAGAAAAGAGTCTGTCAGAAAACATAAAACAACAAGTTGAGGAAGAGGAGGAGACAAATGTGTGAACCGGAGTTAGTCAGAAAACCATTGAAACATGTTTAACGCAGCAGTTAAACATTACTTGACTTTACACATTTGAGTTATATAAAAATTGTGTGAACATGTGTATTAAAAGCAGAACTATTACTCTTGTCTTCTGGGCGTTTGGTGAAATCTTACGTTGAAAACAGTTCATTTGATGTTCATTTATTTTTTAAAAGCTTCATAAACCTGGCAGGCGTTGGAATGAACAAGTCAATCTCAAAGGTTACGGTGTTCAGTCAATTCACCTCATTTCGAATAGGTCCAACACACTCAGCTTTAATTTTGCCACTTCAAAATCTTCCAGAATTAGAATAAAGCGTTTCAATTTTCATAAAAGTTGTGTTTGAAAAGCTAAATTAGTAACTGAACGTGAATCTAAAGGCAGCAGCCGTGAAAACGTTTCATCAGTTTCGTCTGACTATAATGCGTTTTTTCGAGGTTTCTCACCTGTTTCCCCAGTAGGGGATGCCCACGGCCTGGATGATGACGATGGCCACATGGCAGAAAAACACAAAGAAGAAGAAGAAGAAGTTGAAGGAGCTGTCGCTCCTAAACAACAAGAAGACATAAAAAATCCAGTTATTTTAAATTTCAGTGCGCTGCGTTCAGAAGATAATTTGAGACACATTATTTTACTTGTCATATGAGCAAAACACAGGAATGTGGTCTAGAAGGACCCCAAAACTTTTACACTAAAAACTCAAATGTTTGCCAGAGAGAGAAATTCTGCAAGAGAAAAACTGAAACGTGCCAGTGGTTAAGCTCACCTGAAGGCCTTGTACACTGGCCGGTACCAGCAGAGGAAGGAGCAGGGCGTGAAGAGAACGAGCCAGAGAATGGAGAGGCCGAAGTCGACGCCGTGATTCGGGGAATCGATGAAGTAAGCCAGACACGCCAGCAGGTTGAGGAACAGAGTCACACAGTTGACTGAAGGAAACAGGCAGCAAAGTGAGCAAACAATGAACACGTAACATTCAATGTGTTTCGTTCACCGTGAGCCTCAACACACCAGGACAGATTTATACAATGAGTGATTCCACATACATAAGAGGCTTTATGTGTTCATTTCAATTCATTAATTGCATTGATTTAAAAACATAATTTTTTTTTACACAATTAAACACTTCTTTTTTTTTTTTTTTTTTTTTAAACCAGAACCTTTGTATTCCGTTTCTCATGCGCCTGTAAATCTGAAACGGAAAAGTTGCTTCTCTTGCCTCACTGGACGTTCATTTATGCTTCAATGATTTGATTGGATGCTGGAAAAGACTACTGTTGAGTACAAATTGTGCGAAAAGGAGTTAGCTTACTAGCCTAGGATAGCATCTCAATGTGGCAGCAGCACAGACTAATGCTAATGTCAGCGTCCACAGTGCACATTTCTAAAGAAGCATTTTTTTTTCAAATTAGTTCCATGAGTGAAAAACTTTGAAGCTGAATGAGTATAATAACATTTTGCAGCAATCTGATGGTTGGACAACTGAAATAATAGATTAAAAACACTAAATATCTTTGCTGTTGAGCTCGCATGTCTTCATTCAATAATTTCGCATCAAAAGGGGGTTTGGAATTGAAAACGTTGCTCATTTTTTAGATTTCTTCCGTTAGAATTGTTTTAAATTATTACAGACCCTAAAATGAACTAACCGAGCCCCACCATAAATAAAAACATGAAACTCTTACACATCCAGAGGTAGTACATCATTTTGCAGACTCTCTGGTACTCGGCCGGGATTTCCTCTGAGAAGTCCTGATAGAAACAAGGTTGGATGGGGAAGAACTTGGGTAGCGGAGGCCAGTTGTTCTCTTTACCTGTTGACAAAGAATAAAGTGAATATAACCAGCAAAAAAATGTTTCCTTTTCTTTTCTAGATCTATGATGACCCTAAAACGTCTGGATTATTTTCTTATGTCTAAGTAGGAACTTCAGGCGAGTATGACACCGCTCAGAGGGTTTTTCATATCAGGTGTAAAAGTTATCGTAAGCATCCTCTCTGCAGCAGAATGCAGATGCTGCACAATGTCTTCCTGTCTCAGTAAATTGCTCTGCTTGCGATGCTGCTGTGGGGAGTGCTGTGTGTGTAAGGACCTGTGGGGGCCCGGTTCTGCAGCTCCTGCTCCCTGCGGTCCAGTTCGGCTGCTTTCCTCTCCAGCTCCTCCTGCTGCCTCAGCAGGTTGGCCTGAGCTGCGGCAGCGGATGCCTGGACAGAGAAAGAAAGGGGAAAAAAACAAAGAAAGAAACGAAGAAAAAAAGAAGGAAAGAAAGAAAGGAAGACACAGAAGGGTTTAAAATCTTGACTTTACAAACACAACAAGAGGCAAAAAGGAAAATGCATTTTGGTGACAATTGAGGGTTTTAACAGCTTCTGTGTGAAATTTCACATGCATCTGGTGCAAACAGGCGGTTTTACAATATGTCCTACAAGCAACAATGTGAAACGGATGATCAACTTGTCATTCAGACCTGTAATGACTCAGAACTGACTTAGTCAGAGGGCAGAAATGAGAAATGAAACTAAAGACAACGAACGGCAGCACATCTTGGTAGGCAGCAGAGATTACGGAATATTTTCCGTATTTGACCGCTTTTTGGGGGTTTTTTTAACGACGGGAAAATTTGAAGCCCAGTCTTCATTCGACAGGTTATAATTAACACCTTGACTGGTGCACATGGTGCAGATGTAGATTTCTCTACAGATGCGACCAGGAAGAATTTGTGAAGCTGCGCGTTCAAACCGCAGCAGGTGAAGTCCTGGTAATTTAAGTGGAGTCGTTACATTTCATTTATTGTAAGTTATTGAAGCCAGTCAGTGGTTTGTGTCACTGCAGAGAAAAAGTTAGATGCATTTATCTGCTTTATGTGAGATGGGATGTGAATTCATGATTCAACTGGGTGAATATCAACAAAACAAACACAAATACCTTATGTTAATATGATGATAATTTGATGGGTAAAAATAGTACATGACCGATTTATTTGAATGCTGTCCATCAAGATGACTGATGATAAAAAAGGTCTAGCACGACCTCTAGTAAGTGGACTGATCCAACATATCAATATACCAAATCTGTATCGGATCGATAATAGTGTGAAAAGATTGGTACTTTACTTTCACATTCCCTTAATATTTAATTTTATCTTAGTGTTGTAGTTTAAAAAATAAGATTGCTTTGATTTTCTCTCAAATTATAATTTTATTTTTACTTTGTTCATTTTGGGGAAAAAACAGAAATCAGTTTTGTTTTATTATCCATCATTCATGTCAGGTGTAAAATCATTTTTCACCAACAACACTCCACTGAATGTTTTGTTTTTTGCTTGTTTGTTTTAAAACCTAAAAAGAGAAATAAGATGTTGGTTCTTTAAAAATGACCATCAATTTTAGGCAGTAGATATTTATTTATTCATTTTTTAAACATTTAAAATGGCTCTTTGGTTTGTAATGATTGAAAATTTGTACAAACTGAAATAAATGTTTGTAATTTTACAGACATTTTCTAATGTTTGTAAACCAAAGAAAGGTTTATTAAGAGTAACTGTGTTTACCAGTGTCTAACACATAACCTTTATTTTGTTTGTAAAGGTTTTTTAAACCCTTTCAAACCTTCACAATGAATTTACAAACCTTTATAAACAAATTTTTGTAAACTTTTGTTTACAACCTTTACCTTGGTAAACTCAGGTTTACTTGGATTGTAACCTGCAACCCTGACAAGCTACATGTGAAGTTTGTGATTATAAGGCGAGACATTGTTGACATCATCTCACCATTATAGTTTCGCTACAGCGTGTTCTTAATCACTTTATTTTCTCCGGTGTTTGTTTTTTTTGGAGTGGCTTTATATTGTGATGAACCTGAAGCAGCTGCACAAAACAATTAGAGCGTTAATAAACCGCAGATGGCACGTGAACAGGAACAGGACTGAGGGAAGTCAGCCAGCTCTGACTGACGCGACAGCGTGTCCTCACCTGTGGGCTGGGTTCTGTGGACGGCTGCAACACGGCCGGCTGGTAGGGGGACGTGGAGGCCGGGGTCGTCTGAGCGCCGGCAAAGTCCTGACAGAAAAAAATAAAAATAAAAAAAAATCAGATGAAAAAATAGAAACAGCTGATGCAAAGAGCAAAGATTAAAGCCCAGGGATGGGATGAGAAAAGGTTTGAAAGTGAGGGCAAATATAAGGACGAACCAGAGGAGAGGAGGAAGAAAAGAGAAACTCATTAGACTGAATGATGAGGATTGGATTGTAACCTGCAACCCTGACAAGCTAAATGTGAAGCTTGTGATTAGAAGGCGAGGCGTTGTTGACATCATCATCATCATTATTGTTTTGGTGAGAAAACCATAATGGTGAGTTTGCTTGAATTTGCAAGCAAATTCAAAAATAAGAGACAGAATGTTGAAAAATAATCTGAACAAAAACGCAGAGAAATATGAAACGGATCAGCGATTCATATTCTTTTGGGAGAGTGTTTTCAGGAATTTAAATCATACATCATCTCATGTATAAATCACTTTAGTGTACACACTTTTAAGAGAGGCTTCACATTACATGCTATTTCCATTAATTCTACAGTCATAAAAACATATTTTCTTACAGCACATTAAGAAAAGAATATAGAAAATGATGACGAAACAAAACAGAAGCAGTGGAATAATCACATTGTTACCACATTTTTACTTAAAGTCATCTACTCTTAACTTTTGAGGGACATTTAAGAAAAAAAAGAAGAAAGTCTTACATTGGACTGGGGGAAGGGGTTATACTGGTCGATCGGCTCGATGCTGGAGTTTGTCACTTGAGTAACTGAAGGATCCTGGAAAAAAACATGAAAAGAGACGTAATTATGCATCAATGACTGACCACTGTGCTGTGCAATCACCAAATAGATCTAACAAGAGCAGGCTTGACTGAAACATGGTGAAACCAAACTGGAAGTATGATGCCAAAAAGATGAAAGAGCAACATATTTTGACATTTTATTTAGAGGGGAAAAACGCCACATGGCAGATTGATTTCTGTTTGTGACCATCAGAGCCTGAACCTGCAGAGGCTCAGATCAATCATTACCTTTGGTAGAAGTATCTGTAATCATTAAATGGCTTTTACTTCAGGGTTGGTCAATCGTAAAACAAAAAGGGCTGAAAGGCCCTTCGTCTGAGTTGGAGAAAATCTTTATCGTTTAAGTTTGAATTTGGTGCCATTTCTGGAACAAAACACAAAAACTTTATATACAAAAAACAAACTAAAGGTTTTTGTTCATTATTTTAGTTACATTTTTTTTATGTAACCAAATGTGAAATGTTTTGTTTCTCTTTTTTTTTTGCACTTAAATATTTTTTACCCCCATAATTCAAACTTTAGACTAAAGTGACGTTCAAGTCATACAGCAAAATAAGAGATTAAATGTTTTCTTATTTAAAAAAAAAAAAAAAGAGAAAAAAGTTTTTACTAGGATTAAGTTGCTGTCACAGTACGGGACAATTGTTTTATTCAATCACTGGATTAATCGTCAAAATCAATCAATCAATTAAAACAATAGCTTGCAACAGGCTTACTATAAAGTGGTGGTTTACTGATATTTTGCTTATGTGTATGTATTAAATCTACAAATTATAGCCTATTATCAAATATCATTTGTCAGCTCTGCAAATAATTATTAGATTTTCTGTTTTAAATGACAAAAATCATTTGATGGAACTCGTATTTTTTATTCAAGATCACAGCCTGTGATAATGTCATAGCACACTATGGATCCAAAATTATTCACGAGAAGAACCTTTCTGCTGTGACCCCGTGACCTCTGGTATTCCGGAGGAGTTGGGGAGTTTTAATGTTAACAGTCCTGGTTACTCACACCCATAAAACTCACACTATGACATGTTGCTGATGGAGCCATTAGTCTGAGTCAGGGCTTCCCACAGTGTAGGATCAGCCTGGCGGGGCACCAGGCTTCACTTGCACCCCCGCCAGGCTGGGGTTTGTTTGTATATTAAAGGTTTGTTTAGACACCAGTAACAGTAACAGATTGGTCAGTATGTGAACACATGGACAGGCTGAGGTGAGCTGGATCTTCATAACAACCGTCTGGTTTTACTGATCTACACGCTAACAACTTTAGCGAATACTGCCACAACTTACAGATAAAGCATGAAAAAAAAGTTAACACTTTGAATAAATTTTTTTATTAGTTTGTATTTAGGCTTTTTTTTATGTCTTCCAATAACATTAAAAACAAAGCTAGTCTTATTTTCTAATTTCCTGTCAACTTTAAATATTTTTCAATTCAAAAACACTGTGGGCCTCTAGTTGGCTGCACTAGCGCCCCCTACAGCCTGGTTTAGAAGGTTTTCTGCTCAGTGTTTTTTTTTTAAAGTCACATTTCACAAAGAAAACAACGTGTCGAAATAACTGCTTGAATCCAGTCATGTTACGACGGCAGCGTCACACTTTATGATGTTCATAAAGGGGAGGGTTGCTGTGATGTCAGCGGTGACCTGTGTTTGTGGATGGGTGGAGAAGCGGCTGAATAAACAGCGGCCGGCGTAAGTAATAAAATTACTGACCCGGTACATACAAGCTATTTTATGGTTTTATATTATCTTCCATTAACATTTAAGCCGAGAAAATCCACATTTCTATCCCTTAAAGCCTAAAACCAGTCATGTCATTCAACAATCGCTCGACTGCTGTGGGTTTACAGCATAAAGACGTAAATAATAGAAATATCCTGCTGTAGTGCTGAACTGGGACCAGCCACACCTGGATTATAAGCATTATCAAAACCATTCCTGCTTCCTGGTGCAGAGATGTTTGGATGTCAGCCCGTCTAGTTCAAGGAGAACTTTATGTATTTTAGCATCCAGTCAAGTTGCAGTCTTTGCAGTTTTTGCTTTTTTGTTGCTGTTTAAATGTTTCCTCATTTGAAGAGGATTGACTACCGTTTCCGTCTGAGCCCTGTAATCACACAACAAGAGCATGTCCAGTTTCTTTATTTTTCTTTCTACATCAGTACTATTTAACACAGTTTGTTCTGCTGATAACGGCTCCACAAATACAGCAAATAATCAAAATATGTTATTGACTCTAATTTTGATTATCATTTTATACTTTAACTTTTATTTGCTGGCGAAAGCTTGAAAACTTTCACCTTAAATTTGTTTTCTCTTGGCGCGAATTTGCATTATTCTAGAATTGTGACATATTTTTTCACTTCATCCATGTCAGGATCATTTTACATTGACGCTTTGGTCCAAAAACGACAGGCTCCCTCTAGAAACAAAAAGAAGCCAAATATTGTTGGGTTTTTTTCTTCTTTTGTTTTACTTTTGCCACACTCCCGTCTGCATGACGCTCCTAACACATGGAGGGAGAGAAGACCTGCTGCCGTTCCTGATAGGAATGTTTACAGGTGTGTCAGCTGTGAGCTCATGCTTGGAGTCACATGGCCAGTGAGTGACGTGTCGGCTTGTCATGTGATTCATTCATTCTTCACACGCTTCTGAGGAAAATGAATGTAGAAGAAAACAGAAACTGAACTTAACAAAAAAAAAAGAAAATGAAGAGCCTCCTGGATGTTGCAATGTGTTTATGTGACTATTGCGGTCTAAAATGATGGATTTTATGGCAGCTTTTTCAACAAAGTTGTGCTTTTTTTCTTTTGTTTTATTTCTACAGTGACAGGATTTTAACATAGTTAATATTTAAAGTGTAAATTACATTCTCTCCTTGAAATTGTTTACAAATAAAATCATGTCATGAGGAGTTGTCAAAGTGCAAAAGAAGAGTTCAATATTTGTTATGTTTACGTGGCCCTAACAATTTTGCTGCTAGGGACAAAATAGTTACTTTTTTTTCTAAAACTGAAAATTGTTAATAATAAGGAAATTGTATGTGTCTCACAGAGTTGTTGCATTAAAAAAGTTTGAAATTTTTTTGGGGGGGTTTATCGTCTTCGTTTTTTCTGTGATCACGGAGCGAGTGGCCAAACGAAATCATCCAGAGGCCTGCAAATGGCCTATGGACCACACTTTGAACTTCCCTGGTTTAGCGTCACACATGTTTTTATCTTGCAGGCCCGGCTTTCTAGAAGCATCGTGAAACAGGAAGTTAAATAAATATCGTGATTTGTCAAAATTCAGCCGAGTTGCAGTGACTGGTCAAGAAAAGAAGGAAATTCAGAAAACACTATGGTACTTTTGCGAGATTTGCGGAAAAGTTGCAATGAGTGGTGAAAATTGTGCATACTGCTCGTTGATGTGCTTAAAGGCCAACAATGTGGGAAGTTTTCAGTTTTGATACATAGGGGAAAAAATTGTATTCTTCCCCATTTCAACTACTGCTGACCAATCACAGCTGGTCGACTAAGACCCTGGATGATTAATTCATACATCTGTACATATATAGACTGTTAACCCAAATAAAGCTTTACTTCAGAATGAGAAGAAGATAGTTGTTAAAGGTAGTCACTGAAATCTGAAAAATATGTGTGATTTCACATGACAGCGCCATGTATCATGGCAACCCCTGTGTAGCCAAAATGCCTATGCAGTCCAACGCATACAAAGCAACGCAAGAAATGTTTCTTTACTGGTCTTACAATCCATACAGAATATAGAATATGCATTAGAACATGGAGCACATGTAACATAAATTGGGGAGTTCCCAAGCCTGACTCTCTGGTTAATAATTTATGTTGCTATCAGTTGAAACAATGCAATATTCAATCACCAGTTCCCTTTGAAAGACTTCTTTTTTAATTGCAGAAGCAATTAAAAAAAAAAGACTTTGCACTGTTATTAAAAATTCACATTAATAATAAATGGTGTTATTGGACCAGTTTCCTGTGACAAGTACACTTCCATACACACAAAAAAAACTCTTCTTTTGGTTAACACTGATGTGTTTATTGATCTACTTCTGATCAATGGCTAATAATACAATTCAGTACATCTGGAGAGTTTATTGTCAACTTGTCTAATTCTGAACAAATATAGTAACAGTTAAATATTATTTTTTGAGTATTGAATGAACCTCCATGTCACATCCTGTTTGCTAGAAACTCGCTTCATGGAGCCAATGAGCATTACAAGTTTGGCTGATTATTAACAAATTTCGAAATGAAAAACAAAAAAATCTGTAATTCGTGTTACAGCTACAAATATTTATAGAATTTGACTAGAAACCAAAGTTTCAATAGAGGCAATCAGTTTTAAAATAGCCTGACACACATTCTTGGTTGGCTACAGTTTAGCTTCCTGAAAGTCAACTCTGAGGGTAAACCGCCTTCTCCGGCGACGTTCTACACTGATTGGATAAGCCACTGTCAATCCTCCGGGGTAGGCCAATGGCTTTCCAGGAGCGGGGATATACGTCCCTCCCCCCTCATCCACCCAGCTACAGTCGCGTTTCCTGGCGTGCTGGCAGCCTTGTAGCGAAAGAGCTCCCTGCAACCGCCCCCGACAGCACTTCATCTAGCAACAAGTAATTAAACCGCTCACTTACATTGAATGGGTTAATGTTGCTGGGCTCCGCGAAGGGGTTAGCGTCAAAATCCGACATTTTGGCAGAACGACGAGGCGTTTATCCTCCGGAAAAAAAGTCAACAACAAACTCTTCTCTGTCGCTTCGGAATCTGCCCGTCCTACCCACTTCCTCGAATGAAGTTGAGAGCGCATGCGCACTGAGAATTCGGCATACTGACGTGTCCTGCGTCATGTGTCATAAGTGCGCCTCCTTATGTGAAACTGTACTGTACGATAAAGAAAAATAAGTGCAGTTCTTTTTGTTATAAATATGTGTTCAACTAATGTATCATTGAGAAATAAAGAATATTTGTTCATATTTTGAGTGTGCACCAGTGACTAGTATTACGGTAAAATGGAAGATTTACACAATTTTGATTTGACTAACTTTTAGATTTCTTAGTAAATACCAAAAACCTTACAAAGATGACGCTGATCAGTCTCATTCTGATGAAAGGAAAAATGCCAAGTAGAATTTTTAACAAAAATTATAAAGACTTAAAATTTTGGCCACCATGTGTCACTAAAACTGTTTCGCTGTTCCTTCGCACTTTGTATGTATTTTGTACGATTTCAATCCCTTTATTACCTGGGACAAAATGCCATGTTAAACAACTTTAATGATTTTGTTTTTATTATGACTGAGTGTCACCTGCATCTTTTTTGTTGATGAAGTCATTGTTGAAAGGGAGTGATTATTATATTGATCATGCTGTCTAAACATACATATCTTATGATCTTTGTCAGATTAAACCATGATCTAAGTCATGTGTGCGGTTTGTGTGCGGTTTAATGACTTAGATTAAACCATGACTTAGATCATGGTTTAATGATCATGGTTTCATTAAACCAAAATGACATGCTGCAGATTCCATTGTGGCTTTATTTACTGAACAAACAAATTGAAAAGTTACGTAAGCCCAGAAAAAGTTTAGACATATATATATATATATATATATATATATATATATATATATATATATATATATATATATATATATATATATATATATATATATATATATATATATTTTATTACCATCCTTGACACACCGCACTGTACACGCACAGATAGGAGCTGAACAGATTTATGGTACAACTTGCTTTTACCAAATTATGACGAAAGTAAATCTTGAAGAAATATTTTAATTTTTGCGTAAACGATATAATTATTTGTTAGAAACATTGCATTGGGAATTGCGTCTTACTGGTGATCACAATTTCTTCCTTAAAGTCTTCCTTTTCTTTATTGGGTGTAAAGAGTTTTCATGGCAATGCTCAGATGGGGGCCCCTGCCCATGACAGGATTTCAGAACAAACTTAATCAAGAAGCACCTTACTATTACGTATGTTTTATTTTACATTGAATTCAATGTTGAAAGTACCTGAAAGTAGTAGACCAGGAGCTCGGACGCTTTTAACAACTTGAATTTTCCCCATTTCTTTTTTTCTCCCCATAATATTGTATTTAGCAACTTATAATATGCTAGTGCGTGTCACCATAATTGTCACTAATAAGAAAAAACATCCCTAAAGTACATTAAATGCAGGGAGAATGTATAAGTTGTCATTTTAACAAATAAGAACCAAATAAAGCGTAATAGCGCCAAGAAGAAATAAATAAATAAGCCGGGGAGGCGGGTCATTGAGCGGTGACGTCAGCAACGTGCCGCCTGTCGACGTCGCAGTCATGGAGGAAGTCAGAGGTGAGGTGGACCGTCCTCATTCAAATCAAATCTGCTTCAAATCATCGCTTTTATATATTTATGTTGCGGTTGCTGGCTCTGTTTTAAACCACGCATGACTTCCGGCGGGTTGTGTTATTTAACGCGCATCATTTTGTCAAGTCGGCGTTTTGTGTTTTGTCGTAAGCAGGCAGACGCGCTCCTGTGTGAAACTGGAAGCACTTAAACAACAACAACAACAAAAACAATAATAGATATCACGGCTCCATGTTGTGAAGCGGGTCTTTTAGGGAAATTTATCTGAAAGAAGCAACGCGGCGTAAATTTGAGACAGGCTCGCGCTTGGCAAAGACCCCATTCATTACTGCTCGGTGTTTCATCGACTCGCGTGCCCCCGTTAAATCAATTCCCTCGATCAGCCGAACACGTCAACTCATGGAGTTCAATCGATATTTGCGATTGGAAACGTTGCCTTTTTGTTGCCATTTAATTGTCCAAAGTAACTTGTCTTGTTTTGTTGGTACAATTTAGCTTAAGTGTTACACATTACGTTAGAGAGATTACAAACTAAAGAAAGACAAGCTGAAAATGATGAAACTTAGTTTTTGTTGTTGTTTTTTAATGCTCACTCCTATAAAGAATGGTGATGTAGAAATGAAATAATTTTAGGAACCTAGAGTACAAAGAAAACTCAAAAATATTTGTTTCAATGCATGATTAAAATAAGTAGAAAACTTGTAAAAACAGAAATACAAAAAAAAAAAACAACAACACACACACCAGGAGCAATTTGGATTTGCACTAACTGAGGGAAATATCTATAACACTACAAGTATTACTGAACGTTGCAATGATTAGACTGATGCATATTTCCTTCCTTTTTTTGTTGTTTCATCAGTGTTATTACACAAAAGAACACAGTGACTGCACAGTAACTGTGCATTGTAGTGCACAGTTTCTAAATATAATTGCATTTAATTATATTTTCACTGCTAGATTTAGCACTTCGATCATTAAAAAATGTACATCAGGCTTGAGTATTGAGGGCTACGAAAGTGCACCCAGCATGTCATATATATTATTGCCATGCAGCATTTCTATAAGCCAATGACAGAATTGAAAAGGCTAATGAAAGTGTATTCTTTAGCTGCTAGAAGTGTTTGGCTTTTGCTCAGATACAACCGATAAATATTGGACTGTAGAGTAAAATAGACGATGTTCTCCCCTCAGTGTTTCCCCTGACCTGTGCAGTTCAAAACTATGCATGGGGAAAGATTGGGCTGGACAGTGAGGTGGCCAAACTGGTGGTTGGCGGAGACCCCCTGGCAGTCATAGAGGGGGACAAACCCTATGCAGAGGTAAGAAGGGCTTAATGGAAAAAGGAAATCTTTTTACGTCAACAGAATATAAAAAAAAAAACAAGCAGATTTTAATTAACTGCCTTGCTGGCAAATAAACGAGTATTCATTTCAATGTGAGAAATATTACTTGCGATTTGACACTGACACTTAGAATACGTGTTGTTGTTCTCTGAGTGTGTTGGTAGAACAGCTGCTTTTCCTTGTGCCATTCAGAGGTCTTTATTTAGCTCCCATTGCTCTGCATGGAGTGTTGACAAGGTCATTAGTTCATGTGGTGACATTTCCACCTTCCCCACTGTTCCTGTCCAGGTTAGTGTTCATGTCTACAGAGTTTAGGTTTTATTATAATATTTTGTGTCACTATTGTGATAACAATAAAAGTGACGATAAGAAGTATTTATTGCTTCTTTTTTTTTGGGTAACCGTACCGGAGTGAGTGCAGTATACAGCTGTCACAGCGCCACAATCACAAATACTGACCTCGAGAAACACATCATGTGAGATACGCTTCTTTAGGAGACCACTCACACAAAGGAGTGTGATATGTGTCACTAATGTAACAGTAACTACATTTAATTATATTTTCAAATTTATTGGTATTGGAAAAAAACTGTGGAGAAAATAGAATAGTAAAACTAACAATGCTGATCATTTTGCATAATAACTACGAATCAAAATCTTATGATAAGAAATTTATCAGGAGTTTTCTTTCTGGAATTTGCTGCTTACACTAAATAAAAATCAGTTTTAAATCTGAAATGTATTCCCAAAGAGTATTCCACACTCTGTGGAGTGTACAGAACATTTCCAGGGGTGCCCATGGCCCCCATTTCCCCACCCCATAAGGGCGCCACTGCAAATTGTATGAATCGCTGTTTTTTTGCATTCTCTTACAACATTATTGTTACCAATGTCCACTCCAGCTGTGGATGGGTGCCCACCCCAAAGGCGATGCTCAAATCAAGGACAACAGGATCACCCAGACCACCCTGGGCCAGTGGATAGCACACTACCCCGCCTGCCTGGGCTCCAAGGTGAAAGACGCTTTCCAGGGTCAGCTGCCGTTCCTCTTCAAAGTCCTGTCGGTCAATACAGCTTTGTCCATACAGGCCCACCCCAACAAGGTGAGTGCATAGGCACGCATCCACTTTTCAGGCTGAACTCGGTTACATTTAGCGTGGATCGCTTTATCTCGGAACAAACCACAGCTTGCTGAAACGGGCTTTTGTGTCAGGCCAACTCCTGTATGTAAACAGACCTGATAAAATTCAGACCAGAAGGATTTCAGGAGTTCAGCAAACACACGGTATTTGAAGTGTGATCAATATTTCATAAGGGATTAGGAAAGGAAGTATAAAACTATGTCTGACAGAATGTAGTTAAATGTATGATTAAATTTCTTACTTTTCTATTTGTTTTTGGTAATTTAGGAGCTAGCTGCCACCCTACATGCTCAGTTTCCAGAGCACTATCCAGACAACAACCACAAACCAGAAATGGCAATCGCTCTCACTCGCTTCCAGGGGCTTTGCGGCTTCAGACCAGTGGATGAGATCCTGGGCTTCCTTCAAGGTTAGTCCCTAAAAACAACAACAAAAAAAACTGGACGTAGACATTCCACTTACAGTGAATCCATACCTCTTTGTGTGCGTTTATTCTTCAGCTGTTCCAGAGTTCCATGCTCTCGTTGGCCGGGATGCAGCAGAAGAGCTACGGAGCAGTGTCGGGGATGAGGTTCGGACCGGACGGGCCTTGAAGAAGTGCTTCACAAAGATGATGAGCTGTGAGAAGAAGGTGTTTGTGGACGAGCTGAATGAGCTGGTTAAAAGAGTCACGCAGGAAGGTGAGGACGCCATTAGCGGAATTCCAAATTCCAAAATAAAGGAACCCTTCAAGCTCTTTTAAAATGTTTTAGGACGTAGGATACCTGGTCAATTTGGTTCATTGGGGGACCAGTTTCAACACTTGCTACATTTTCAGCTGGTGAGGTTGGCTTTCACGCGACACTGTGTAAAACAAACCAAACCAATTGAAAAAACTGTTCCCCTCCACACTTGCGATGGTACTGCATCAAGAACTACTGGAGGAAACATGAAAACCTCTGAAGAGGACACTGATCCCAATTTTCTTCTTCATGAAATGTAAACAAAAATTGAGTAGTGTCAAATTTTGTTGTTAGTAAAAAAAAAAAAAAGTGGAGGTATTTCCCCTGCTAATGTCACCCTGGCACCCTTGTTTAAGTTGTATTTACCCAGAATCCCATACATTGTAGTTCATTTCCTGCTTTTGTCACAAGGTCAACGATCAGATGTTACTACTGCCAGAAGTGACAAAGAAGATGACAGGAAGTAGAAGGACGATGGCACGGCATAATGTTTTATTGCGTGAACAAACCTACGTGTTTTAATTAGGATTTTAATAATGGAAACGCCACAATTGCAAAATTGTGTTTCTTTCAACAGCAGCAACATATCAACAGAGTTTTGCACCCACTTCTAATGCAAACACCAGTTTGAATGTTCACCAGGAACCAAGCAAAGATGGATTTATCCAAGTAAAATCATTTCACACAGGTTGATGATGATTCGAGAACTGCAGACTAACTTGTTTGCGTCACGTGGGCTCACCATGTAGTTCTTCACTGGACCCAAATCTCCAGTAAACAGTGTTATTAACTGCATTTAGAAAAAGCAACCTTTATCCTCCTGAACATGGCTGTTTGTCCATAGGTGCAGCAGGGAAGGACACATCAAGCAGCAACGGCAACCTGTTGCTCCGCCTCCATTCCCAGTACCCAGGAGACATCGGATGCTTCTCCATATACTTCCTGAACTATGTGGTCCTGGAGCCAGGCCAGGCCATGTTCCTGGGGGCCAATGAGCCTCACGCGTACATCTACGGAGGTCAGAGGGCGCTTCCTATTTCCATACATGTGCTGTTTATCAGTGTGTTTTCTTACCTCTTTAACCTTTACTCATTTCATCATTGGGATTTTATGCAGCTCAGTAGCCCATAATGGTGAAGAGAAAGAAAAGCGGTGGATGGATTTCTATATGTTCTGTGAATGAAAATCTGAAAAGTGAGACTGTGTATTTGTATTTATCCTCTCAAAGGCTGCACTTTGCAGACTTTGTTTCACAACTGAGCACTCTCTGTGCTAGCAGACGATCCATCCTACCTTGCACAAACAGTTAGGACAATGGATCATGGAATTGAATATCATAAATAAACACATCAGTGAAATTCACAAAATTGGAGAGGAATTGTTGAGGAAAACGGCAAAGAAGATGACAAAAAGTAGGCAAAATGGCGGGCCATAGTGATTTATTGCGTCAACAAACTTAGGTGTTTTAATTGTGATTCTTATATAATGGAAACACCTTTGGCAAAAAATTTGCCAAGGGTGAATTTGGCTAATTTTGTCGTCCACCCAAGAAGGGGAAGACGACATGAGGCAGAGAGCAAAGTGACACGTCAATGACAACGGATTTTGTCAGTTCGGCTCGATCGTGCAGAGCCCGTTAGTGTTTGTCCAGTTAAATGCCAGGCTATTGAGGAGTCGATGTTGCATTTGAAGGGAAGTTGACTGTCTGCCACTGTGCCAACCTGATCGGTTTTTCTGGTTCTCCATCCTTCCAGATTGCATCGAGTGTATGGCCTGCTCAGACAACACCGTCAGAGCCGGACTGACGCGTAAATACATCGATGTAAACACGCTGTGTGAGATGTTGAACTACAAGCCGGCGTCTGCCTCCTCCAAAATCTTCCCGTGTGTCTCGGACCCCGCAGACCCCTGTGTGACCCTGTATGACCCCCCGCTGCCAGACTTCACGGTCATGAAGATACAGGTAGGAAATTTTCTTTTCTTTTTAATCCTTTTGTGTTGTGATTGACATGAGAGTGCTGAGTGAGCATATTCTGACTTGCTAATCTGCTAATAAGAGAGCTAATTTTTCACTTAGCACAATAGCATTTTTGCTAGTTTTGAAAACATTTAGCTTCCTCTAAGTTACTTTTGTGATCGATTGACTTGACGTCCATGTTGAGGTTTTTACCGTCTGTTAAGAAATCTTGAAGTAGTTAGACGTTTATATTCTACTTTTTCTCATTTTGAAGTAGGTGACGACTGTTTACGCAGCAATTCATCTTCCTTTTCTCCTATTCGTGTTTTAATTTTTTTAAAGAAATAATAAACCACATTTCCAACCTTTTTACATTTTATGATGCTAAAACGGCAAACTTCACTGCAATTTATTTAATTGTTATGAGAAACATGACAGAACAAACTGGTAGCTGATTGTAACGTGAAAGGGGAGGTTTGCAACATTTATTCAGATCTTGATACACATTTGCAATTGGATTTAGATTGCAAATGGACTTTGACTTCACAATTTACACAAATATATTTTGTTTTCTCTGCTTTTTATCCAACGTCTGGCTTTTTTTTTTTTTTTTTTTTTTGAAGAAACATTTAGCACTTGGTGTGCATTGGCTTGTGTATTGAGGAGTTTAATTTGCAAAATGTGAACTTAATACAGTGAGGCTGATGGAATTCCCTCATTTGTATAGAAGCACCCAAACACAGTAACTACCCTCTACTCGGGGCGTCTCTACCGGTCTATAGGTGCCAGCCTCTGTGAAGGACTACACTGTTGCCTCGGTTGACAGCGCCAGCATCTTGCTGGTCATCGAAGGCGACGCCACCGCGACCTCCGCCGCTGCTTTCTCCGATGTCACCATGACGCGGGGAAGCGTCCTGTTTGTCTCGGCCAACGAGAGCGTGCCTCTGCACATTACCTCGCAGTCGGGGATGACCCTGTTCCGAGCCTGCAGCCTCCTGTAGCTCCGGCCCAGCACCTAATGCCGCCACCGTCTCTTAGGAAGTTGTTCGTTCTGAATTGGGCCTCGGATTTCTGGTGTCCACTATTTGGTAGGTGGTATTAAAAACTTAGAGAATTTTCTCTGGTCCTGTTTTCTAACTGAGTCTGTTGCTCCTTTTTTAACCATAAGCACCCAGCAGACTGCTCTGAGGATTCTAACGGTGTTTCTTACAAATCCAGGATCATCCTGCAGGGTAATAATCAGCTTTAACTAGTAGTGTCGACGCAGCTTACATCTAGAAATAAAGAAAATGTGCACAATCCAAGTTCTGTATCAGTGCTGGACATTTAATTTCCAGCACTGTGTTTTAAAGATTTCTAATAAATTAGCCACCGGAAGGTTTTTAAACGTTTCCAAAACTTCATTTAGCTCCTGTTTATAAAATCTTTTTTTTCCTTTACATTAAAGGCAGTCAGGTCACATCTGTTCCTTGATGTGCTCAGATTTAAGAAAAAAAAAAAAAACAACTCTAATTTTAAATATGTTTGAGCATCATTTACTCCTACAAAGATTTAACAAAATAAAAATCCTGAAACAGCCAGAAAACAACAATTTTATCATCTGGTATTGCTGCATTACAAAACGTTTACACCACCTACTGGTCCTGTGAGGTACTACAATCACTGAGCATCCCTGGGGATGATGGGGAGTTTCCAGAAAGTCTCTCCTTTTTCTTATTTGTTCTATAAACATTGTAATGACAGTCTAAATGACTGGCGTGGTAACAATAATGCGATTCCTGTGTATGCTGAATCGAGAGCAGTCGCCCGTCTGACTGGCCGGTTTCCTGCCATTATCCAGTTTCATCCACCAGTGGAAGTGAAGCCGAGGATTCCGGGTGTGATGCTTTTGACCACTAACAATGCATGCATATTTTGTTTTTTTTAATGTCCTAATATTTGAACAGTGATTGAATATAAAAAGAATAGCTACAGGGTTGGACAAAACGTTGACCCCAAGCTGTCTCCATCCTGCGAGGCCTGTGTGTTTTGAATTTTAGCGTCTTGTTTGGTTTGACTAAATATGCAGTGTCTGTGCTTCTACAACAAAACGCTGCATGCCTGCAGGGGTTTCCGAGTTTGCCAGTCTTTAAGTAACTCAATACAAGACAAGGTCCTTTCATGTTTTCCATCTCAAAATTCCACACTTTGGGTTTTCCAAGTCATCAAAGCCTAAATAAGTCCAGTTTTCAATGAGTTTGGGACCCAGGATGTGGCCTGCATTTTACCATCTAGAAGAGTCATTTCTCATCATCCTTGAGATGACAAATTTACAGCTATTTTTTTAGAACAATTTCTAACCAATTTTATATTAAAGTATTTATCATCTGACTAGATTACAACAAACTGTTTTGTTTTTGGTGTTACCATAAGCAGCATTTCCATTAAGGTCGTTTTTTTGTTCATGCGCATTTTGATACCCCCCACCCCCAAAAAAAACAGGTTGACGGAAACAGCAACATATATATTAAACATTGGCCACTCCTGGAAAAGAATTAAAAAGGGAGATGGACACATATTTGTCTTCAGTCCTATTCTTTTTACAGCCACGAGATTTAAAAATGTTGCATCAGAATTGGATGGAAACATGGCTGTAGTCTAAATTACTTTCAGAATATCCCTGATTTTATTTGAATTTCTCTTCAATGAAACCTTGACTATTTACTAATGTTCTAACAGAGTAATTCGCTCACTATTCAAGATTAAAACATATTCTTTTTTTTAATTCAATAATCTCAGTATTTTTGAGCTGATTTGGTGAGAATTTTCCTTTAGCTGGTCAATCCATTATGGCTATAATCCCCAGGTGTCGTGGCAGCAACACCGAAGGACTTGATGTTGATAAACCACAATAATTACCCATTTATATGCAGTATTGATTGCTTGATTGTGATGAATTAATTCAAAGACAGCCTCAACTTCCATCCATCTTTCATACAGGGTTCAGTCTGAAAACTGCTACACTTTGGAGTAAGTTGTCGACTTTATGGAAGTCGGATCACGTGCGGAAAAATTTGGAAAAGCAAATTGCTTGAAGGGAAAACCTAAAACGAGTATTTCAACATGCATCCTGCCTACCTCCCAATAAAAATCACTTCTCTGAATCAATAAAGCTGCTTCTACATGCAGGTTTTTTTGTTGAACACGTCTCTACTTCGCTGCTCTCATATCTCAGCTCTTTGTTACTGAAATAAAAGAAGGACGAGAATACCTCATGTCAGTGTTTCTCCTAAAAATGTTTTACTGTCTGATGTGCTGTAATTCTAATGACATAATAGCTTCATCAACGTTTTTTGTATATTTTTGAAGTTGCCTCTGTTACTGATCTTGTCTGAAGACGCCTCTCTGTTTTGAACACTGTAGATCGAGGGCTGTGCAATGTTTCTGTCGGAGAAGCTGTGTGGGGAAAAATGTCTTGGGTTCCAGTTAGTGTTTAGAAGTTTTGTTGACTAATGTATGGGAATGCAGAAAATATGAATGTGAAATGGTTTAATAAAGTCTTGATATGCTACTGAAAAACTCGTTTGGGCCCTATATTTTATTTTTACCTCCACTAATAAAATGGCTTTCATATTTTTGTCACATTAAAACCACAAACATTGCGTGTTGAACATCTGAAGGGGAAGGAAAGTGGTTGATGGTTTTCAAAAATTTCTTACAAAATGCTTTCAGAACACTTGAATTTGCTGTAAACAGGACTTCTCGGCAGCTTTCTTGAAACAATGAACTCACCGGCTCGGAAACAATAATTCAGATAAATAACCAAACTGCCCGTATTAGGAGTCTGGAGGAGAGGCTAATGAAACCTTATAGAGTGAATTTGAAAAGAGAACTTTTTATAGTTTCCTGGAAGCCATGTTGGAGGTTCACCTTCAAGTAGAACAGAAATTGAACATACCAGCAGAGGAAGGGCAGCCTGGTAAAACCAGCTCCTTGTTATATGCTATTAGCTTCATACAGAGGGTCTGGATGTTCGGCTATTGAGAACTGACTGCTTGCTGCTGAAGTTTTACATGTTACCCAATCCCAAACTCTTGGCCGTGATGTATGTTCAATAGCACAACTTTGTACTTTCTGAGGTGCACTTATCATTAACACATGCACAAACAGCTGTTAGATACAGAAAATTATGACTAGAAATTATTTTAAGCCATTTTTGGCAGATTACACCGTGCCAGTTCGATGCTATGAAGCTTACCTGAAACTGTCTGAACCGTAAACAAACATCCTCCACTGCGGAGAGAAGTACCAAACCAAACGAGACGGATGTTAATATTTATTCAATATTTGGAGGTGTGGTCAATGCCAACTTCACTTCCTGTGGTGCATACCTATCAAGTCTCCCATTTTGGCTGGGAAACTAACGTTTTTTTTTATCCCCCTTTCCAGCTGCGTTCCTGCATGAGTATTTTCCTGTAAAGATACCATATCAAGTCATCGTCATGACAATATTGTCTAATATCATGCACCCCTAATATGGATTGAACTCATCACCTTCTTAGATTAAGAAGCTGTGCCTGTTAGGTTTGAATGCATCTGCTGCTCAAAAATCCACACTACCGCTTGAAATTCTCTCCTGTACTTCAGGTTTATTTTAATTAAGTTTAAGAAAAACTTCTTGTCACAAATAAAACAGTAAAACATCAGATTGCTGAAGCTGATTCTGCACACGCTGTTGACTGACTGTCAAAGTGTGACCTGTTTAGCTGTCAGATTTCAAGGAAAAACAACCAGATGTGACTGAATCTATTCAACAATTACACTATCCATGAAAAATGTCCCACTTTCAGTTAGCGTTTCAGGTCACCTATGTTTTATCTTAAATTTTATATGCCTTTATGTTGATGTGTATCAGGTTCTCCGTCACGTCGTTTCTTTACTTTCCCCGTCTGTCTGAAATTCTCCAGTAGGGGGCGACGTCCTTTTTGTCCTTTTGTTGCATGGTACAGTTGGTTTGCTGTCCATAGTATCCAAAGTAAACATATGCCTACTGACAACTTCTGTTGTCGGGTGAAGGAAACCATAGAGAATCTTTAATACTCTCACATCCTCCAAAGCATCATGGGCCCTGTAGTTTATTCCCAGCAGCTCCCTGACAAGGTTCTCCTGGCCAAAGCTCTGCAGGCCACGGTCCCTCAGCAACTCCCGAGCCAGCGGAAGGGTGTCCACGCAACCCGAAACTGAACCCTCAAACTGCGCTCTCAGGTCCAGCTCGTCGAGAGCCCGAGCCAGCAGGGGGCAGTCGAAGTTTCGGATGTTATGGCCGACGACGAGTGGTCGACCGAGCATTTGAAGAAAAGCGATGAAGGAGACCACGACTTCTCTGAGGGAGTTGGTGAAGATGAGGCGACGATCTTGGTAGAGTCTCTGTCCGCGGACCTTAAAGCCCGTGACTCTGGCCGCTCCTCGCTCAATGCGACAGCGGGGGACGACGTACAGATTGAGCGAGTGGCCGCCGCTTACTGCTGCCAGTTGGATGATCTCGCAGTGTGGACCTGGACAACAGAAAGCATGCAGAGGTCAGGGCATGACATCATTTACTCTGGATTAGAAGGCTGTGATTCCATTAACCAGAAAATTGCACCAATTAAAATTATCGGAATTCAGTTGCTTAAAGGAACATGGCAATATTGAAAAGACTAAAGTTTTTTGATAAAGTTTTTGCACTAAAATTAGGGTTGTTTTTTTTTTTGGTCATTAAAAACAATAATGTTATATTGAAACTTTTCGCATCACATGAGCCACGTGATCAACAATCGGAAGTTAGTACTGGCGAAAACAACAAAAACAATGGCTGATGGAAGTAGCAGGAGGATGATGATGTGTTTTATGCTCCTACTGTGACACAGTTCATACAAAGCCCTGCGTAGTTCAGACATGTTTAATCCACAGATCTTCTGTGAAAATCGCAGACTCCAGTTTCCCCAAAACGGCACATAGATAGCCGCTCACAAGTCTATGGGGATTATCGCGCCATTGCCTGAGTGAGACACCATCTTCTGATGGATGATGAGCGCCAGCAGCACGGCTGAATTCTGGATATAGTTCATGTAACCATTTCCATCCATTGCTGCCCCAATTTCTTTACTACTTATCGCAACAAGGTTAGGGGACTTGTTGTTCTTCACCATTGAAGTACCAAAGTGCTTTGGCCTTCTTGCCCTTTGGCGACCCGTACACCACAAAAATAAATGGACAGATGGAATTAATAAAATTGATTTAATTTAGATTAGACAACCCCTTTTGCTTTTTTTACCCTGACTAATATTTGTGGCTCATTGCTTTCATGTTTTTCTTTGCTTCGTTTGTCATTTCCTGAGCTCTGCGAGCAACACTTCGACATTTGCGTTGGCTTTTTCGGGCTTTTGTGTTTTTTCTGTTAAAAATCAGTGTAAGGGTTAAAACACAAAACTTCAGAGATATAAGAAGCTATTTGAAAGGAAGTTGAGCTGTTTAGGCCTCCAAGACGTGTCGGTTAATAAAAGCTACAAAGGAGCTTGATTTCATATTTATATATATATTTGCTAAAAAGCAAAACTTATTTTTTACACTGCCTTTTGAAAATGTTATTTGAATTGTCTTTATTTGAGCAAAGCTAAATGAAGACAATTCATAGAGTTAATAAAGAACTTAACTCTATGAATTGTTTTTATTTAAGTTGGCGAATAAACTGATTCTGACAGCAGCGAAGTTAAAAATCATTCCTCTGCTTTAATGTTCGGACAGATTCATTATTCGTAACATCCAGGTCCCTCTTGATAATGAGATCCAGATCTCAGCGGGGTTTTACATGGTTCAATAATTATCCCGTCAAAGTGCCACTTTTTACAGACGTATTTTCATTTTTTTTGTCAATTTTTAAGCGATTAAAGAAGAACCAGTAAGTCTGAGCTTACTCTCTCAGCAACACTTGCTTTGTGTGACTGTACCTCTGCATACAACTTAATCTTTATCATTTAATTCATCATTATAATAAGTCTTCGTACCCAGGCCTGTCGTCTCCAGGTCGAAGAAAACGAGCGGTCGTTGTTTGAAGTTTCCCTCCTCGTCTGTTTCTGGTTGCATCCCGCGGTAAAGACATTCATCACTAAATGTAAACCTGGCCGCCGCTCCGAGGTTTAGCTGCTGAAAATGGTTAAATTTAAAGCCTTGCTGTGGTCGGGAAACTCGGTTCTAACAGCGACAAGCTACATTTCCCCGTTCATGTTTTGTTTTTTTAAGTTTCGCACACGGAAACGGAAGGGTCTTCTTCTTCTTCTTTTTTTGTGGCAGTTGGCAAGCAACCTATTGATGTGCATTACCGCCATCTACCGGAAAAGAGTTTGGCTCGGGATGCTACATATAAATTCACACACACCCAAAAAAACAAAAAAAAAAAAAAAAAAAAACTAACAATAATATAATAATAGTATATCAAATTTATATCCTTTCTATCAATTTCGTTTTCTTAAGGTAACTTATTAACAAAAATATTCTTAAGTAGACCTTTTTTTCCCCAAAATATATTGCATATTCAACTGTAATTTCTTTTCTTGTAACTGATGTACTCTCAACTGAATATTTAGAACAAAAGCAACCGGAATGATTTTCAAAATAAAGCCCGTGTTATCAAACTTCCAGTAGATCACAAATAAAACTCTTTTTTACGTTTATCTTAGTGTATTGCTGTTGTAGTAAAACACTTTGTTGTTTTTTGTTTTGTTTTTCACTACAATGCAGGAAAATACGAGTGAAAATAACAATGATAAAAAAAAAACATCCTCAGCATACATCAATGTGACATGTCCTGAATAAGTGAAAATAAATTCATAAGAAATCTTCAATAAACTGTACACAATATTTTGCTTATTTGAAGCAAAAATATGACTAATGAAAAAAGAATTTCAAAACTTTTTCCAATATTTCATCCTGTGCATTATAAATGAACATCGGAAACCTTTTTGTGTACATATATGTACACCGTTAGACACACGATTTGTCACTCTTTCAGGTAAAATGTGAATAGACAAAAAAAAAAAATAAATAAATCAGTTGAAAACTAGCATCTTGTGTAAGATAAATATAAATAAATAAACCTAGTCCCCTGCACATACAGATGTACACCTTTAACCTCGAAAAACTGTTGTGAATTTATTATGCTGCATTTGACCTACCTGAATTTCTTTTTATCAGAAAGAATTGTTAGAATGATAACATCAACCTATTTGCAAAAGTGGGTAGAGTACCTAAAAATTAAACTGAAGAGGACCAATACTTCAACATATTTGTACTCAAGTAAAATAATAATAATAAAAAAAGAAATTCTGGAAAGAAGAGCAAAAATGTGGTTAGTAAAAAATATTATATTAACTGAGCAACATCTTATTTAATACTTAAAAATGATGTCATCACACAGACCAAAACTTAAAGACACACACAAATAGATAATTACACATCATAAGAAAAAAAAACAACTTTGAATATATATATATTTATATAAAACTGATCAATTCCAATAAAGTTGGGAGATTGTGTAAAACAAGTGAAAAAAGAATACAAATATCTGCAAACACTTTTCAACCTCTATTCAATCTACTCCATCTTAAGTCCAGAGCGTACCAGGGTTTTTTTGTTGTTGCTTTTGTCACCTCTAGATGATGATCAATATATAAAAAAATCTGATTGTCTTTGCTGGTGCAAAAGAATATTAGGGTCACTGTGGAGATGATTTTAATCCATAGACACATTTCATATATGGTCTTTTGTTACATCTTCCAGGGTAATGTTGTTATATCTCTTAAACCGAGGAGGGAAATGTTGATTAATATTAAATATTATCATATTTACTTATAATCAAAAAGGGGGTGGGAGAATGTGGTGGAAAAATTACAATAAGGTCACATCTGCTAGTTGTATTGTTATATGTTTATTCTAAATTCTTGTATGGTCCCACCAAGATAAAGCTGTTTGGGTTTCATGTACAAGGTTGAAAGTCGTTTCCCACAGCTGCATGGGAAGCAGACCGTTTCCCATGCTTTGGATCGTTGATCGTTGTATAAAACTTGCGTGCAGTGTCTGCCTGGCAGAGTGCTAGCTTGACTATTGATTGTCTTTAGAGCTCTCTGAGTCGTGCACAATTCATGAATAAACCTAATTGAGTTTTTTTTTTTTTAATTTTTCCCCCCCACGACAGTTTGGTGCCGTGACCCGGATTCCTCGACTGGACACCAACTGTGTTGGACTGCGCTGTGTGTGTGTGCGTGTATACGTGTGTGTGTCCACATACATTTAAAATTGAGGTCATTTTAGAGCCAGGTGGAGAACTGTGGGAAAGCCTGTTTTTTTTTTCGTCTGCTGTCATGACTGCAGATCTTTTTCTTTTCTTTTTCAATGCCAACTCACTCCTGACAGAAACCTGAGGAATACAGCCAGCCCAACCTACTGTGACTCCACAGTGACCCGACAATACCAGGCTTAGAGTTAAACAAAGAAGGGCGTGGTCTAAAAATAGCTCTCATCCACTTAAAATACTTATCAGCGCTCCGTGCAGACGCACGCCTTCTTCCGGCGCTTCCTCTACCTCCCTGACAAGAACGCGCCTCACTTCCTGAAACTGTCCGGCTTCCTGCACATCACCGGTCAGGTCAGGCTGGCGGCGAAGGAGTGAAAACAGCTGAGCGTCTGCAGGAGGTTCCGAGACGCGCTGAGAGGTTCGAGCGCCGCGCGCAGCCCTGCAGCGACAGCATCCAGCAGCGAGTCCAGCATCAGCAGTGAGTCCTGCACGCAGCAACGCCCGGGCGGGCATTCTCACTGCACAGGTCTGCACAGCCGCCCGAACGGCTTTCGTCGCTCAATTGAGTTCGCGCTTCGGTGTCCGTTGCGTGAAAATAAAACACACAGAGCGCGGCTGTAGTTTTGCATCCGCGGTCAAGATGTGCAGCGCTATGTTTTTTGTTTTAGTTCTGCTTCTTTTATTGTAGCGTAGGAGGTCGGAATCGGAAGTTCTGGGTTTTTGGAGCAAAGTTGTTCTTCTTCCTTCCTTTTTTTTTCTTTTTTTTTTCTTCTCTTTTTTTTTTTAGAGAAATCACAAAAAAAAGTCAGTCCGGTGGATGCGATCGACAGGACAACTGGGTCAAAACAAAAACTTTTTTGTTTTTGTTCTGAGGGTGGGCGTGTTCTCTATCCAGTTACCGTACACTGCACACACACACACACACGCACACAAAGAAGAAGAAGAAGTGACAAGCCTGGGCAGGTACACAACAGAATACTCTTACACATATCACTGTATTCACTTCAAATGAACTTGACAACAGCAGCATGATGAGCGTCAGCCCGAGGGATGGTGTGCAGTTTTGATGCGCTGGAGAGCCAGACAGACAAGACCGACAAGTCTTGACAAATTTCACGCCTGAATCGATTTGTTTGCGCATGATCGCCAAAAAAAAAAAAAAAAAAAAAAAAAAAAAAATCCTGGGAGAGGTTAAAAATCTAGAGAAGTGCCAGTGTTTAATGGTGCGGAAGGCTGCAGAAGTACAGAGTCATGAGGGAAGAGGAGGGATAATAAAAGTTAGACGTTGCACTTTCTGGGTCTTGGTGTAAAAAAAAAAGGAGAATATTTATAACATATTCCTTTCTGTCAATTTACCAAACAGGGAAGACAAGAGAAAAAAAATCCCAAATAAGGACATGAAAATGCTTCTTTAAAAAAAAAAAAAGTTGGGTACACTGTAAAAGAAACCCAATAACCTCTTACTAAGCGTTTTCTTGTGCAAATATCTTAGTGTTGTCTCATATCAAGTGTACTAACTTAAAAGTAACTGTTTTTTAGCAAGATGAGCAGCTTGTTGTGATTTAACATAATAAACAATGCAACAATCTTATAAAATGGAAAAAATGTCCTGCCATAAATGAAATAATCTGCAAACATATAACATATTGACTACAGTTATCTTCATGTTCTATGTAATCTTTACTTTTAGAATTTTGATTACAATACACAGAAAAGCAAAAAAACATGCAAAAGAGTTTTTATGAGCTGCTCATTGGAGAGAACATAATTTTTTTTTTTTCTGCTCTTCATGGAGTTGAACTGTGAGACTTTCTGTTCCACTGACTAATCTACAGTTTGTTGTTTAAGAGAGCTGTCACTTTTTCATGGCAACTGTAGTTTACTCATGGACCTCCAAACACCATTAGCTTCCGTTTAGCATAACTGCTGCCTCATGATGTTGTGTTATAAAGTGTCGTATCTCTCCACGCCACTAGATGGAGCTGTCGACGCTGACGTTGAAGAATACGGTACCGTGTCCCTTCGTGCCCCTTCGTGTAGATGTGCTACTTTTAATAAATGAGTTATGCAAGAACGGTTTTATTTAGTCACACCATTAGATATATCGTCTGACTTTAGTGGCCTATGAGTTGTTAGGGTTTTTTGTGTCTAGTGCTGGAAAATTTCTTCGGTCTTTTTGTTGACAAAACGTCTATTTCGCGCTTGGTAGCATAACATGCTAAGCTAGCTATGCTAGCTTAGGGCGAACGGGGCTTCATAACTTTGACTGGTAGCCAATCAGAAAGATGAGCATTGCACATTCAATAAGTTCTTTTAGCTTATATTTTATGTTAATAATTTAAAAATAGATTAGATTTTATAATTTACAATTAAAATTCATTTTTATTATATTTTTTTCTTTTTTTAATAATTGAAAACAAAGAGCAGGTTTAGTTTCAAGGCTATGGATGATTTTTGATTCTTTTGGATATATGGAATTATATCCCAACAGCTGAGCTTATCTTTCTTGTTGGTGAGGAAAAAGTGTGTAAGCAACCAGCATCATGCAGCAATAAGTGGGGGAGGGGTAGCACCACGTCCGCCTGTGCTCCATGAACTCGGAGCGAACTGCGTTCACTTTCTCTGGCTTAAGGATTTAAATGTGACCTACCTGTTGCACCTAAATCCTTAAAGAGGAGTTGGACATCCGAGCAATAAAAACCTCATTCTACAAAGCAGCCTTTCTAAGTAAAATAAACATCTCTGATCAGATGATGTAATGAAAGGCTAGAAATTTGACTATACACATTTATCACATTTATTGCTGCAATTTAATATAATGAGGTGAACAAAGAGGCTGCTTGTTCTCCCTGCACATGAACTGTACTTGTACATGAATGTGTCTTAGGTGACGTGGCGTTGGCATCTGAACCAACTGTCAGCATGCTCCGACCAGGTGATGGGAATGAATGTATCTGCAATACATCTACAAACTCTGAGTTCCCATTAAAACAATGGGTTAGATAGGTTTTTTTTAAAAGTGGGGGTATTAGCTGTCAATGCCTTATCTACTGTAACGAATAGGGGTGCGCCACCAGATCTCACATTTTCATGCAATAATATTTCGTCTTGTCTCAATAACTCTTTCACAGTTGCAGTTAATACGGGACATCGTCTGCTCAAGTCAGTTTACGCTAATGTTATGAACTCCACTTAAGAAGATGTCTGCCTTAAGCTTCAT